TCATACATAACCTTATACTGTATACTGAAAATCAAAATCGAAGCAATCAATCAGAAATTTTGATTAAATCAAAATTATATTCTATAAAAATTTAAAATTTGAAATTGAAAATAAATTATAATTTGTAAAAAAAACCAAGACCAAAATATTTGGCTTATACAAGCTTGGACTATTTGAAAAATTTGGAAGCATACCAACGATGGAAACGAATGCGTGAAATAAATGAGAGCTCTTTCCTAAGAATATTGTGTACTTCAAGAAAAGCTAAGAATTACATACATACATATGTATGTCTAATTACTTAGACTGATTCGATATTTTTCTTAATGGAAGCTTACACATATAGACGCAATGAAAATATTTTGGCAAAAATAAAAACAGAAATTATTAAAAATTTTTATTGAATTTTGTACATGCAGGCAAAAAAGGACATCTGGAATTTATTATAATTGCAGTTAAATTGGGTAATATGTAAATGGTATTCATTTTTAATCCTATAAATGCTAAATGTATTTTATTCTAGTTTATTAAACCACAATAAACTTGAGAATTTCTATATACATATGTATGTATGTACATAAATATACATAAATTGTGACTAGACGTCCATTTAAAATTGTTGTTTTCAAAAAGAATTGTAAAATATGAGACCTTTTCATAAATGCAGTATATCGCGATATATAGCGAGAACTGCGCTATATTTGTGTTCATAAACAAATGTTGCTAATCAAGACTTGGAAATAACAAAATTTGAGCCTATAATTTGAAGTCATTACAAAAATTAATTGTGAATAGGAAAACGTCGCGAATAATTTACGCATTGATATTTTACTGTAAATATCACTCTTTTAAAAATAACATTAGTCTAAATGGTTCGACATAAATACTTCGAGCCGAAGTTGTTTTCTTGAGAAAATTTAAACGATAAAAATTTAAGTCTTTACGTAAATATAATTAGATTGTTAGTTTCTTAAGACCATTGCTATAAAACGATACATAGACCTTTATAGGTAGATAGAATTTTTGTACATATTTTAAAGCACAACACTTTCCAAAAAACCGAGCGTCCAAGTTAGTTTTACTTGGTTTTCTCTTCACTTCTTGAAATTTTGATTATTGTTCTGTTTCTAATTCAAATTATTAACTTGTTTAAAAAAAAAATATTAGTAACACAACATTCCAGCATTCTGTAATTGTTTATATTTCTAGTTCCAAGTACTAAATCGTAAAGTCGTAAAGTTTAAAGTTTTATTCTTCTACATCAAACATAATTCTAGCAATTACAAATCGGGAGTTATTAAGTAAATCAGTATTAATTTTCATAACTTAGAACTTAAACTGTTTCTAAACATGTTAAAGAAGTTTACAATTAATTTTAGGAACTAGTATTACCAGAACTTAATAATTGCTATATAATTTCAACAATAATTCAATTACAAATAAAAAAGCAAAGTATTAACGATTTGCTTCCAGGTCAATTTTATTTTAGTCAATTTATATAACAAAAATCTTTTAATTTATTCACAAACTATGAATAAAAATATTTAATATAAATAAAAAGTTTTTATATCCTTACAATAATCTTTATAACAATTCTATTAAAGTTATACAAATATTTTCTTAATCATATAGTTGTAATCACTTTCACGAGCACGAATAATTTCAATTTTTCGTCTATTTTTATGATTCGTGTGTGTGTCAAATTTCCTAATCAGAAAAGAGAAAAATTAATGACAAAAATAATAACAAATTTTCTATATTATTAATAAATATTTTTTTCAATTTTCTTAATAACTATAATTTTCTCTGTCTCCAACATTTGATCTTCTGTCTTGTCCCATATCATCTCCTATATGAACTCATAATTTCCGAAATGCGAATTATATTTTCCTCGTGTTGCTTAGCTCATACTCTCTATGAATATTTTTTTTATGTATGTACGTTTATGACCATCAAATACTTTCTTCAATAATAATAAAAAAATATTTAAGTATGAATTTATTTTGATGGTAGTTACAACAAATGTTAGTTAAATAAGGTTGGGTCAAACTAATAGTTTTTAAACTAAACTAATGGTTTCCTCTTCGACAAGTAAAAATACTACTTTTAAAAATAATCTAGATAAAACGTCATTAAAATTACTTTCATTATATTCAAAATATTGCCTACATTTAGGATGAAAAAAAAAAATGAGAGAAGCCTCAACATAATGCTCGAAATTAAGGGTTAATATCGTCAGTTAAGAAAAAAAATTATATTTTTGGATTGCATTTCCGGTTAGATTTTTGCATTTATAGAAATTAAGAAAACTTAGCAGTTTCGGAAATATAAGGTAGAAAAAAATTTTTTAATAAAACAAAAATCATGTATTAGTAGCATCTTCACAGCAAAAGCTGTTAAAATTTCAGGCTTCTACATGTTGGAGTTTAGAAGCAAAACCAACGGGCAATTTAACCGGCTAGTTTATTTTTTTAAAGATAAACTATGCTATGTCACAGTAAAAGAGACCCACCAGTACTTTTCTGCGTTCACAAAATTCAAAAAATATTTGTCCTTATTTGTTCACAAAGTTTACAATGGTAAGAAGTTATTAACTATATGTACATGTCAAAATTATTATGCCTGACAGTCATAAATTTATAAAGAAAAAGAAAAATTGTCCGGAAGCAAAATTTTTCCGTTAACTATTTGAACAATTCTATAATCAATCGATTCTAAAAACACTAGTCGACTCAGATTCATTAACAAAATTTTCAAAGATGTTCTCTTAATTATTTCTTTAGATGTGATTAAAAATGTAAAATCAGTCGCTAGTGAAAATGTTGGTTCGAAGCTCTGATATGTTCGAAGAATTTCAATGGTTAAATTTCTTGATTTCCAGTTTTATATAGTTTAGTGTTCGTTCACTTTAAGATTTATAAATTCTGGGCTATATAAATTGAAACGGTCAACACTAATATTTATTTTAGGTTTATAACCTAATATATGAAATACTTATATACAATGGCCCCACCGACAAATAAAAATAAAATTTCTTTTTTATTTTTATTTTATATTAATTTGTATTTTCTCAAATTAATTACATTTATCGAAAATAATTATTATAACAAAAATAAATATTGAAGAGATGAAAAGAGAAAAATAAAATTTATATTGACTTAGAATTAAAATAGTATATAAGAGAAATAGAGAATAATTTGGCATACTTATTAAGAATATTTAATAAAAAGGATAATATCTGTTATATTACATACTGTTTTTGTATTTAATATAGATATGGGGAGAATCTTATAAATTTAATAACTTCAGTATAACAATATTGACTCAAGTGATAAAAATAATTACAATTGATTTATAAATTACTTTGAATTACAACATTTTTTCTTTCGAATGTAAGGGTTTCCATTTCCTCTGCAGATATTATCTTAAGCACTTAAACGTATATTATAAGGAAGTATATATTTTCTACTACAACACAATCAGTCAATTTTGTAAGTCAGAACTAAGATTAACTAGTTTCGGACACATACACAAAATTTAAAAGTTGTAATTTTTGGAAAATATAAAAGACTCCAAATAAAAATCGAAAATGTGGAAAATTGATTGATATTTTTAACAATTTTATTTTCAATTTCGTTTGGATGAATTTAATTTTAGTTTCAATCAAAATTTTTACAAAATTTAGCCTAAAAATAATCTGGTCACACTCTCAGTTTTACTAAAAAATAATTTTTTTAAATTGTGTTGCAGGTGTTTTTCAAATTTTAATTTGACGATCTTTCAATTATTGCAATGAATTTTAACAACAGCCACCTTACTATGTGAGTCGATTTTCGTGAAACGATTTTCGTATTTGTCGAAATAGGAATGTAGTACCATACAAATTGATTCGTGAAAATTGAATTACATAGTAAGGTCCCAAGCTATTTTAAAGCTATTTGCCTTATTGCCACTAACATATTTAAGAATTTAGAGTACATTTTATATAGTTAAATCTAAAATTGATATAAATTTATATTTTGAAGTCATGGCAAAAAAGCTTTAACTATAAAGTTCGTATAATTCCTTATCAAATTCGTATTAGCAATAAAAATTGAAGTTTGACAGAAAATTTTTATGGTTTAAGCCCAATTCTTACTCTTCGTTATGTTGTATATTCTAGATCTAACTGTGAAATTTTACTATTTCCGCTTTAGTGACTTAAATCTGTCCTCATCATAAAAGTTTAGGATAGTTTGCAAGATAGTTTGATTTTAATTGTTATCCTATTAAAAATCGCTTAATTATTATATCAGGGATAAATTTAGTAAGCACATTAAACCCATACAAATTTGTTCAAAAATTTTCAATTTTAAAATTTATTATAATGTAAAAATTGAAAAATTTAATTTTATTATCCTTTTTTTACTCTATTTTTTTTTGTATGTATATTTGAATTTCATATTGTACATTACACACTTACATATATGAGTTCGAACCGAAATTAAGTAAAGTAAAAAATAAAATCAAAGTCATACTGCAGAATAAAAGTTTGTCGTAATTTGTTGTAACTATAAATTCGAATATTTATTTTGATTAAATTTTCCTCTCTTCTTCTTCTTCATCTTGTACACATATAAGATAACTAAAAACTGAAGTACGAATAATTTTCAAAAAACCAAATTAAAATCAGAAAAAAATTGAAAAATCTTGTCTTTTTCGATTTATTTTGTACTCAAAATTTTTGTTTTCTATAATTTTTGTCTCATTTATGTCGTAATAATTCGATTTCTATAAGAATTTTATTGAATTTAGGTACAAAGTGTCGCCAACGATTCTATAGAATATTTATTACAATTCATTTAAAGGAATACAAAGAAAATTGCGAATTAGTCCGGATTGGTCAGTATAATCCGGATAGTATGGAAATCCAAGAGAATCTATAGGCTATTAACTGCAATGTTGAAGATTTCATATTTATTTTAAATACATAATATAAAAATGTTAAGTTACATATGAGCTTATGGTGTATGATATGGTATATCTACCCTTAAACTACTACCATAAGCTGATGTAGTTCTTGGAGTGATACAAATTTTGAGAACTATACTTGATTTTAAATGGAACGCTATAGAAATTATCTATTGTGCATTTGAATTTTATTTAACGAATTACAAATTTTTAAGGTAGTTATCACAATTACATATTGTGCTCAACTTACTTGTTACGCAGTAGATGGTTGTCTCAATAATTTAATTGAATTCTTCATCTCAATAGTTTAATTGAAAAACTTTTGAAAGGTTTCAGAGTCTTATGAAATGTTAACAAACAAGTCTTATTAAAGATGCAAATTTATTTATAACCAAGATATATTACATATGCCTATATGTAAATTGGTCTAATGACTAAGCTCAATAAAGGATTTAAAGCGTAAAATCAAATATAGAGTATCACATAGAAAAATTATTGCCCCAAAAGTAATTTTTCTGATCAATTTTACTTGCCTGGAAAGGAAAGGAGATAAAAGAAAATCTAGTTCCAAGGTGAACTTTACAAAATCACACAACTGAAACGAAATTTTCTCAATATTAATTGAAACCCCTTGTATTAAAAAAATCAGTTTTTGTAAAAATTTGTGTAGTACTTTCTAAAACAAACTTCTTCTTCTAACATTACCACATTTGGGACAATTTTTCTTCTACATAATATTTTTCTTTTCTTTTTTTTTACTTTTTACTTGCTTTTAAATAAAATGAATTCTCATGTCAATAAAAATGATTTTGACTTGTTGTTTTATACATATGTAAACATTATACATAATTGTAGAAATAGACATATAGACTATAAATCATCTTATATGCACACGTACAACATGTAGAATTACACATTAATCTACTACATATATGTACTTACGGGTATATATTATATATTATGTACTTTAAACCTTACAAAGTTTTCTTTGTTATTTGTATTTTAAATATAGTTTTTTGTACTAAATTAAATTAGAACACACTATGTATTAGGAAAAAACTAATAATTTCGATTCTAGACTTACTGCATTATTAATTAATGAATTAATAAATTAATGAACTAAAAGTTTGACCCATATATACAACCTCAATAACCCAAATCAAAATTATTATAACTTTTGCCAAAGTAAAAATATTAAGAATATACCAATGAAAGTCCGGCTGAAATAGCTTTAAATACGGAAGGAATTATCAACTGGTATACACTCATATGCCTACCTATAATTTAATCATGGTTTACATTTAATTCGATTATAGCAGAAGACTCAAACTAAAATATATAAAAATAATCATTTTTGGAAATATTACCAAGCCCGATTCTGATTTGTCCGGTGCCCTCTCGCTTTCAAAGCAATGAACAATACGCAATAAACATTGCATAATATTGCGATAAACAGTTGCGCTATTGTTTGCCTTCGCTCATTTCATATACTTTACATATATGGTGATTCCTATGTTGAATATTACAATAACTATATATTAGCTATACAATAACTATATATCGAAGTATATTAGCAAATCAAAAAAGTATTGCGATTTTCCAGAATTTTAATATTATACAATACAGTTATACTTATATTTACATCGTATTGTAGAAATTGTTGTCATATTTAAGAATCTTTAATAACTTTAAAATCTTTAAGGATGAAAATACTTAATATAATCATATAAACTGTAATCAATAGAAATTCTTATGTCTGCGAAATTTATGTATTTGGCCAACAATAAACAGTAGCTAAAATTTATTTAAAAATCGGACAACATTCTTAGAATTTATTGAATTTTTCCTATGAAAATCTTTCAATTTTCATTTCATTTATTGAATTTTTATCGTAATTAAATTCAATATCTTTTATAGGCAATGAAGTATGGGGGTTCATCGGTTCAATTTAGGAAAAATTTATGAACAAATTTCAAAGTAAAACTATGTACCAATTTTATTTACTTGAAATTTTTTTTTAAATATTTTTAGGTTCAAATGTTGTCAAAGGACAATGAAAATTTTATTCTCTTCATATACACTTCATTTCTAAGTAGAGGGCTTATACTAACCATATATGTATAAGGCAGAAGTATAAAAAAATAAAATAAGGAATATTAAACAAACATGGTCCTTCTTGCTTCTATTTAAAAATTAATCAAGATTATACTGAGAAAAAACATAGGAGTTAATTATATTGAATTTTGTTCAATTGAAGTAATTTTTATACATAAAAATTTATTAATTCGTTGGCATGTTACTAGTATATAACCTGGATTGTTTCTCAGTTATTAAATTAAAACTCAAAGAATGTACATCCAAAATATATCTACATCAGTAAATTAGTATTTCATATTGCATAATATAATACTGAGTAGACATTAGATTTATGAAAGCATAGTATACTCAAAAATTGAATAAACAATGTTCAAAGAGAAATAATGACAAGTTTCAACACATAATCTTAAAAAATATATTGAAATTAATCCATTGATTTTTATAAAAATGAAAATAGAATTTAAAATATTTATTAAATCTCAACAATTATTGCTATATGATTAGCGAAAATTCAAAAAAATTACTGTAATGCTATGGCATACGCACAAAATACTATTTTAGCACAAAATTTATGACTATCAATTTAGTAATTAAATCTCAAAACCAACAAATGTTCAACTCTAAATCTGTGTAATTAAAAGAACAATATTACTATTAAACAAACTCGTGTCTCACAATTTAAAATTTCCTTAAACAATTAATTACAGTGTCTGTAATAAAGCAAAATTTTGATCCATTTCAATAAAATTAAATTTACTCTTGTATAAAAATAATTAAATTTGACCAAAAACTTTCGAATAAATATTTAAGAAATTTTTCTGTAAAATTTTTCATCTTGAATTTCCTCTTTTATTCCAATTTACTATAATAATTAAAAACTAAAACTTTAAAATTAAAATTTAAAAAGGAAGAACTCCAAATATCCTTTTTACCTATTATACTTTTTGTTTATTCATAAGTTAAGTTTTAAGTTGATTTTCTATACACAATACCGTCATATGCCCCGCTAACAAAAATTTAAACAATATTCTCATCCTTAAAATACATACTTGCAGTTAAAAAAATAATCTAATATACCGCAATTTCATATTGTTTTTTATTACTAAAAAAAAAAAAAATTAATAATTTTTTTTTTCTGTAAAAAACAAACAATATGTGCGGAAAACCACCAAAAGATTTTTATTCACTTCCACTCAATTAAAGAACAAGCAAGTATAAGTAAACAAATAAATAAATAAAATCGAAAAAAAATAGGGAAAAAAAACAAGATATAAGAACAAATAAAGAAAGTATAAAGAAGGACATCAAACATTTACATATAAACTAAAACAAAAAAGGACAAAAAAACTTTCAACAACAATATGTTTTCGAATATCGTAAGGATCACTTAATTATATACACATGTATATTTTACACACACACATATTCCATTCATTTGTATTTTATTTTTGTGTTCCATAATAATAGAAAAAAAAAAGACAAAAAAACATAGGAAAAATAGAGTAAAAAGCATTTGATGTGGTCAGCCTATAACCAACAACATTACCTATTTTTCGTATTGAATTTTTAAATTTTCCTTGTAAGAATGTATTTGGCGCACTTTAAGTTAATAACCTTCAAGCTAATATGAGTAACTCTACAAATTTAAATATTTTGTTCTTAAATTTCACTTTTTGAAATCTGATAATCTGGGAAAATATGCCGAGTATTATTATTATTTTTCGAAGCGAAAAATAAGTGTTGAACGAACTAAGAATATATGTCAAAGAGCAGTAAAGAAAGAGATCCCAACGTCCTACATGATATGACCAGAAACTTAAAGAATGGCCCATAATCGAGAATGAAACGGGGAAAAAATTTATTGTTTCTATACTATCAAATAAATCACAAATAGCAGAGCCTATAAAATATCGAAGAAATCTTTCTAATATCTTCTTAAAAATAATCAAAAATATAAAATCGGCCCATAAAAATCCAGTTTGTAACTCATATTTAGTAAATATAGACCCTTGAACACAGTACTCCCATCACATAAGATACAAAAATTTCATAACCTTAAAATTTCGGGAATATAAATTGGCGAAAATTCGAATTTTACGAATTTCGAGAGGCCATAACTTAAGTGGAGTGATCTCCCCAATAGACTGGAAAAAATTTTCTTAATAGAAGATATGATGAGAAAATATGAAAATTTTGGAAAAAAAAAGGGATTTCAGATAACGGTTAATTCTAACAGACTTCTTTTGTTTTTGAAGCTGTTTTTAAGCTTCAGATAATTTGGTTTACATAATTTTTCGTCGTCTTCTCTTTCTTCCTCTTCATATTCTTCTCATGTATTTCTCTTGAAAATTCGACATATCAAATTCATTACGATCACAATACCTTCTTATTTGAATGCAATTCAGTCGGGCAAAAAAACTAAAAGTACATATGAAATTAAAAAAAAAATAAGAAAAAACAAAATAAAAACAAGGAACAAACCACCACTCGGGAATTATCTTTTGTCTTTAATACTAAGTTGGTATTTTTTTCAATTCTCAAAAAAAAAAGTTAATATTGAAAAACATAAAAGGAACATTGGAAACGAGTAACACTTTTACCTTGTCCTTTTTCATGTTTTCCTTGTCGTTTTTTTTTGTTTCTTTTTCGTCCTGAACTATACGATTTCAATTTTTTATTGTTTTCTTCTATGTTTGACTTTATTCATTTCTGGCTTTTTTTCTTTGTCGTTTTTTCTTTTGGTTTTATTAACTAGACTAAAATGTTCCAAACTATATTTACAGGATCTATTAGTATAAATGTATAATATTTACTGTGCAATATTGGTTATAATGAAAACTACATACATATATTATATGACGTGTATATGGCTATAGAGAAATAAAGTCAAAGATATTTGAGGAGGCGCAAGAAAAAATAACAGGAAAAATAAACATCGAAAATGACAACCGAACATTAAAGTAAAAACAATTGAATTCTTGTATACGCTAATGTAATTTTTTTTTCTTCTTCTCATACAAGTAATACAGGAATAGTATGCGCTTGTTATCATATACTGTAGGTTTTTTTTCGG